TTGACAACAATATCTTTTCAGGCTTCCGTGAAGAGGACCCTCTGGGGGGGACCTTCCAGAGCAGGGCCCCCTTTTTCGCCCATCGGTCGGCGAGACAGTTGCCAAGTCTGCGCCACGTGTCAAAGAACGAGGTATCTTGTGTTGCCGACGAATGGGCTTTGACTTTTCTCACGCTCGCATTTTCACCGTGCTTCAGCCACCAGCTTTCCCAAACACGCCTGTTGGGGTTCATGAGGCTCAGCGCTTTCGACCCGTTCCTCGCACAGCCAATGGGCCCCAGTGCAATCCGAGAAGACTGTCAGGGTTCCGTCGCTAGAAGGGTCGACCGAGAAACGCGACAGCATGTGGAACGCATAATCTTCCGCGTTCCTAAGGACTGCGTCAAAGAACATGCCAAGGGGACAGCACCGTACATTCCACACCTGAACGAGCCATCATCGTTGCAGCTGATGACGGCCCATCCAGCGCGACATAGGCCGCCGTGCTGGGTAACAACCAGGATCCGTCTACAAACACCTCTCCCTCGAAGAGCCACCCAGGCATACGCCCCACGAAGCGGATGTGATCCTCCTCGGTGATATCACAATCTTGGAAGACATGCGACGGTGAGGGCACAAGGCCCCTGGCAAACTATTGACCGCACTCCTCGCCCTCGCTCATGGCAGTGCGAGCCGCCTTGAGCAGCTCGGGCGGACAGAAATCTCTCCTGAGAAACTCCGTGCTAGGGCAATCGAAACATCGGTGCCAGAGGGTCCCAAGGGCCACGCATTTCACGCAGAACGGGTGGGTGGCTCTCCCTTTCGCGTGAAGCCTGCTTTGGCTCCAGTGGGCCCCGCAGTTGATAGACCTGAAGGCGTTGACATGCCTCTTGGTCCAGTGCTCTGAGGTCCTAGCCAACGCCGGAACAACTGGCCCCCAGTGGACCTCCGAAACCCAAGGGCTCCCAAGTCTTCTCAGAGCCGTGGCGCCAGAGGCGGCGCAGGCAGAGGCACGTCCCGCCTGGCAGACAGCACCGGGCGAGAAAACATCGAGGTCGATCTCGCGCTGGTGATGATCGAGCAGCAAATTGTGCCGAGCTAATTGGCAACCAGCTCTGGCGAGGCTATGCACAGCGGCCTGGCCTGGGTCAGTGCACCTGTTCCACGGCTTGTCGACGTCCAGCAGCTGCGCGGCGCCAGCGTGAACCACTCTTGGCAACGTCCTGCTGGGGGAGCCCGTCGCGAACTCCGATGGACCACGCCTTGGCCACTGCCACAGCATTGACCGCGAATGGGTCCCTGACCACTGCCCGCGGCATGGTTCGCACCCTGCAGGTCAGGCAAGTGCCAGGGGCCAGCCTGCCCTCGGCTCTGAGTGCGGGCACCCTCAACCCGTTCAGCTTGCTGTCCGCGATGCCAGTGACCGCCGAGCCCCAGCGAGCCGTGGCGCATGGTGCGCCACGGAAGATGTGGCACGTCCTGGCCCCCGCGGCTTGCAGCAGCTCGATCCTGCCTGCTGACTTCTTGGCTCGGGCCCCAGCCCCTTGTCCTGCTCTGGCACTCGCCTTCTGCTGCCGTCGTTGCCGTCGCCACCGAGGCATCTCATGCCAGATGTCCTGGCCAGGTTAAGGTCAGACCAGTGGCGGTCCAGCTCCTGGGCCAGCTCCGCATCTGTGGCCATCCACCCCGTCTTGCCCTAGCTGATCTTGAGGCGCCTCTGCTGGAGCCCCTCGAAGAGGTCGTGGGCTGCTTGGGGCAGCTGGCGCCCGACCAGGCGAGCCGTGCCAACTGCCTGGAGGAGGCAGTCGTCCACCAGGCTCTGGGCCCGCACCAGCGGGCACCTGCTGACGATGCTGCGCAGCAGGGTGTAGGTTAGCAGCTTGGCGACTCCAACCGCGCACGAGCAGCCGGCAGCCGTGGCGCCGCTGGCCTCGATTGCGGGCCCGACCCCCTTGCCCAGCATCGCCTTGCGCGGGGGGCGGTAGCTCGAGCAGCGGGCCCGAAGCAGCGCCATGGAGAACTCCGTCGCAACCGCCTTTGTAGAGCTCGTCGAGGATGATCATCTCGTAATACGTCGTGAGATCGATCGCCCGGGCGCTGGGCGCCATGCCTGTCTTCCTCGCGAAGGCGGTCACCATTTTGTGCACGAGACCGGCCTTGTCGCAGGGGCGGTTGGAGGTGCCCCAGTGGATGGACTGGTCGATCCTGAGCTCCCAAGCTGCAAGTATAGGCTGGCGCAACTTCGACCAGGCACGAGTCCAGAGGCCGGCTAGGATCATGGGCCGCACTCTTCCAGGCGGGGGCTTCGGCAGGAAGACCACCGGCAGCATCCGCGGCGAGCAGCGCGTCGGCTGCTTCTCCCAGGCTTCCACGATGTCCAGGAAGGCCTGGCGGTAGTGGCGCGGCAGCCACCGAAGCTGCCGTGGGTGCAGGCGGTCCCGCCCAAGGCCTGTGCCCTCCCCAAAAGAGGCCAGCGCGTAGTCCAGGGCGTCCATGGTGATGGGCGGGAGGTCATGCCAGGC